CCCCGCCACCCCCAACTCCACTTAAGATCCTTAAAACGGCGCGAGCGGAGAGCCGGGAACCCCGACTGCGAGAGCGCGGGCGACACAGGAACGTTAAAATTTAAGGTTTCCGTCGACACGTCGCGACTCATAAATTTCCGCGCTCGAACGCGGCTTTTTCCATACCTTCTTATTGCCGCCGCTGCCGTTGCCGGCATGTCCTCCCCCGCCGCGATCCGTCTCGTCCGGCCGCCGCTCGTCTCCTTTTTCCTCGTTGCCGCTGGCGACAAATTACACGCACAACACTTTGTCACCGCACGCGGAAGCGCGGATAAGCACTTACTCACTCGACACACGTTTTCTCCGCGCGGGGGAAATCGTATTTTTGTTCCCGAAACCGATTCATTGCCAAACTCCTCGCGCGCGACGTTTGCACTTGAATTAACGGCTTCTGAAAATCAGCAGCGCCCCCCCGCGGAATAATGAGCTGAAGAAAGTGATGAGAAATTCAAATATACATAAATTTAGATTCGCGTAGGTAATGTTTAAAACACTTGTACATGTATCGACTTTTACCATGGATATATAGTTTCATGTTAAATTCGTACCTGAAACACGATACCTTTGCTCGCCAAAGAGAAGACGTACAAAGGAATTCTTTCGAATAAGGAATTTTCCTCCAACGGGACATTTTACTTTTTTTTTTTTTAAACAATTTTCAACAGAGAGTTTTCCTCGTCGTTGCGCTCTATCACTTTCGGTTCAAACGACGATTAATAGTGTGCAGTATCACATATCCGCGAAATTTATACTCAATACAAGGAATAATTACGTATACTTCTTAGGAAATTTTAGATTCGAACTGTGTCGTATGAAATTTTCGGTCACGTTGTGCAAGGCATGCTGCCATCTAATGGCAGCAGCTTATATCGCCAGAACAATACGTTTGCATTTAAGACTGGTAATTTATCGACATAACGCGAATATTGAAATGAGATAATATATTTACATACATACAACTGTACTTTTCTATATAATTTTATTAGAAATAAATATGAAATTATTTTGTGAAACGGATGGTTAACTTTTCATTTCAATTCTAGTAATACACGTATAGTTATAGCTAAGTATAATTAAGTTAAAAAGAGTACAAAAAGGGACGATTATACAGAACACATCGTATACTGTCAACGGTTTATTTTGTATTTCCTTTTTTTTTTTTTGCCAATAGTTATTAGAATGTTAAATAAAACATTTTTGTTTCACATAAAAAAAAAAAAGGAAAAAAAACTGCGCGACAACTTTTTCGTAAACTTACCTTTACACAGACAACGAAAATACTAAAGATAATATAAAAATCTCTCGTTTTGTTTTTTCATTCTCCGTTCGCAAGTACGTAGATCGCCGACGTATTTAGAAACAATCGTCATCGAGATCTATATATCGTCGCAATATACGCGGGTATGTATAACAATATTTAACTTCGTTCGAAATCGGCGCATTTCAATTTCGCTCACCAATTTATGTGCAGTAAAACAACAGTGAAAATGTATACAGTCTCGTACATTGTTGATAACGCAATTATTGCTCTCGCTTAGGAATTTGTTTCAAGCCCGAATGCATCTGGAAATCATCAAGGCCGTCCCTTTTTTATTGCTAGCCATAAATCTGGACAATATTCGCTTCGCAAATTTCGCGAGGTTTGTTATAACGATAGCATCAACGTCAATTAAATGTTTGTATTATAATATTATGTTGAATAAGAGTCAAATTCGCGACTCTCTCTCTCTCTTTCTCGTGATAATTAAACACTTTGCGTTAAATCGAATCTGCATCTGCACATATGAAAACAATTCGCAATTCGAAAGTTGTGTCAAAAATTATTATAGGATTTCTATATGCATAATTAGGCCGATTAGGCCGACAGAAAGAATGAAAATTACAAGAATATTGTTTCTTTTATAAAAAATTACGGCCTCAAATAGAGACATTAGTTTTTTTTATATCTATAAAAGATATCTGTTTAAAACTATAGATCAGATCAGTGACTCACAATTTATAGAGTAAAAATATTGATAATCGAGATTATATAGTGTATTCCACCATTGTAGCTTTAATCGTTAATGAATTAATGCGCTAATGGTCGGACACTCTATATATTAGTCTACGGTCATGTCGGCTATCAAAAAGATGTGAAAATTTACAGGGGCTATAAAAATAACGTCTACTCATTCCAGATATCTCTTTACAGGTCTTAACACGATTTTTGTGCCCGGTATGTATTAAAGAAGTACGATATAGCGAACGTATGTATGTTACTACTAAGCAACAATATGTAGCGAGTAGTGTTAATACTGTCTCATATACGCGGCATATTACAATAATTCATTTTCGCATTATTTAAAATTTAAGCGATTCGTCACAATAGATTATGCATGTTGTCAGTCCAATATATATATCCTACATGTTTGATTTATCTTATGCCCAATCGCGTTTCCTTCGTTCGCACGCCACTTTTAGAGCTAAATATGACTATCCAGTCTATTTACATTGAATACGATTTTCACATTACAGAATCGGAATCGTATGGCCATATTTAACGCTGCATGTCGTTGCCGAGAATGCAAAACTTTTTCTTCGCAATAACACATTGTAGTGTTGTTTTACAAAGTTCTCTACTCCAACTAATTTGTTCATTAGTTTGCTCTCATTAGCTAACAATAAGCCGTAAATAATCTCTTAGGCTAGCTCTACCATATACATATAATAAGCCGTACAATTATTGCACATAATCGTCCGCTTCTATGAGCGGACATGCGTTTAATGAGATTTTGAGATTTCTTCTAATAAGAGTGATAATACGCTTGCGATATCATCGAAAACAACATTTTGTGATAATATCTCTTCTGTATTTCATATGCACGAGAAAGTTAAGAAGACGGGGTTATTTGATCGGGCTCTTTTTTCGTTTATCCAATATATGCAGTTTTAGGGTAAAAACGATCACAAATCTACATAAAATGTATTATCTGTAAATAATTGAAAATGCCTTTATTATAATTAAATAATCGTTAATAATTTTTGAATTAAAACAATATACTTTAACCAAACGTATAAGAGTACATTCGAAAAAAATTTTCAAGTAAGTGGTCGCATTATTTGCATCCTAATTTCATTACCTAACATGAAATAATCTCAGTTTTAACAGGATGTTTAAAAACATGATGAAATTGTATGAATATTAAAGTTATTGCTTAAAAGTGCATCTATAAAAGCATATAATTTCATAAAATAAAGTCGACACTTAAACGTCATAAAATAAAGTCGATATGTAATAAAAAAAAAAGAAAAGAAATATATTTCGAGTAAAAGTAGAGTAAGTAGAGTAAATGTAGGAAGAAAAAACTAATGGTGTATATATACTTAGCATCGCAATTATAAAAACTTAGTATTACTATATATAAAACGTTTCTCGATCTATGTGTTTTGAAAATTACAAATATTTGGATATATATACAAAATTATTATATACAAATTATTTGTCTTTTTTATACACACGAAATATTTACTACTTTGCCACCGTTTATATCCTCGTTAAAAGATATATAATGCTAGTAAACAAAAGATATAAATAATTCATATTTTTAATATACACATAATCTCATTTTATCAAAATATATCGAGAACAGTTATACATAACGAAGATATAAACGTGTCGCATGTATATGTATATATTTATATGCACGTATGTATACATACATATATAATATATCAATTATCTGTACATATACAGCAGTATTACAAACGTATACAATATTTTACACTGTGATGTACATCTGTGTATACCTGGAAACAGATATATCATATATAATACCATTTTTACATTCTATTCTACAAGAACTGAATCTACATGATGTAAGTCTACAATTTCAAGAAAAATAATCTCGTGGTCGCATATCTGGGAATATGTATTTGCACCAACTTTGACTTTTGACGATTTTTAATTTTATAATTCATGTAATTTGTAATCTGTAAAAATCGACGTATTCACAGTGTCGGCTTTTTCGAGCACACGCTAGTAATATCGTACTTATCAAAAAATCTCGGCTTTGTAAGTAGTATTTTGAATGGAATGCTTTTATCGAAGAGTCACGTTTTATTATTTAAACACTCATTTTTTTAAAAAACCGTGTGGCAAGATCTCTCGCAGAGGAATGTAATAGAATTCTTACGGCTAATTAACTAATGCCATTACGAACTAAAAATTCGTTAAAGATCGATAGACGAATGAAATTCATTAATACTGAATATCGCATTGTCGTTACTTTCTTTAGTAAAGATAAGCATTTTGATTTATTAACGGCAATATTTCAAAGTTATGCATCTTGAATCCTTTTATCAATTTTTCCAATATTTTAAATTCAGTTTCAACAATAAAATAATGTGACATTACTCTCCTTCCAGGAAAATTTTCAAAAAAAAAAAAATATATATATATGTATAATTAAAATATCGCACTCATTATATCAAAATCAATGAATTCAATCTTTCCTCGTTTTACGCATTAAAGGTAATGGACGAAATAAACTCTCTGACTAAAAAGTTAATACTGCAAACTAAGCACATTACCTGTTCGGATCTTACATATTATGAAGAAAGAGATCAAATTAGTAGCAACGAGATTCAATCATCATCAAGGATTACGCGCGTTATTTCAACGTTGTAAAGCTATTATCTTCTGGCGTTTTAATTTATAAAGCAGTACTCTCTATCGGCGTCGTTGGACGAGTAGGTGTGCAGCACCTTTCGGATGTATGGCACAAGTCCGGTGTATGCCTGCCGTCCCTAATCTGCGCAAAATCGACATCCGCGAAGAAATCGCTCTTCATAGTGCCAAGTGCACTATCGGAGCCGAAGCTATCCTGTCTGCAAACATCGATACCCTTGTAGCACTTGGTATAATCGGCTAGACAATTCGCCTTCAAATCGCTGCCATAAATAGACGAAGTCATCATCGGACTCTTAGTATCATCGCCCATCGATTCGACTATAACAGGACGATTACCGTCACTCGCATTTTGCCTGTTAGATGTGATAAGGTCCTCACGCTTCGACACACTGGAGTTGGAATAAAGACTGTCTGTATGATATAGATCCGAGCTACATTTTTTGAAGGAATCATTCTTGCGAAAGTCATCCTTCATGTACGTATCGAACAACGAGTTATCTTTAGACGTGCAATCTAATACTGTGAGACTTCCCTTTCTAGACAAGATACTGCCGACGTTGGACACGTTGCTCTCCTGTCTGGATAGTCTATCTTTAACATCTTCTTTTTTGATGACATTCTCTTGATTCGGTGGGATTTTCGACTCTATCGATTTCTGTAACGATGAAACGCCATCAACTTTGTTAGTCTCTTTATTGGAAAACGCGTTCTTCGTGGTCTCCTTAGTCGGTGATATCTTGGTCCTTCGCAGATACAATCCGGTGGATGGCTTCGTGCTTTCACCAACTATTCTCTTTGGATCGATGTCACCGCAATTTATGTCGTTTCGATTATTAATCGCTTTATTTTCCTTTTCCATAGCACCGATAGCTTTCCCGATTTGCCGTAAATACGAGCCAACGGAAGTCGTGGTGTCTGGTATTTTAAATTTGTTTTCTGATTTCGACTTACAACCACTCGTATCATTGGACTTCTCCATCGATTTATGTTTCAGGTTGTTATTGATTTTATACGAGCCTTTACTGTCAATTATATATTCCGAAGCATCAGAAACTGTACACTGACTCGCGCTTCCCACGTACTTTATCTTCTCTATAGTTGGTACTCGGGTTAAATTATGCTCACTCGTATCAATCTGTCTCGGATACGTCTCCTGTTTCGAGTAAGCGTAGATATTTGGAATGTCGGCAGATGTATCTTTTAACTTAGCATTATTAACCCTTAGATAACGTCCGCTAAAACCGCTGGAATCGGGTGAGATCATAACGTCGGACTTCTCTTTGTCAAAGTCTTTTGATTTGGAATTTTGTCTCGAGTAACGTCCCACATTGCCCGAGTTGTCGCTACTTTTGCTGTTCTGCCTCGAATACCTGTTACGTGGACTGATAACTTCAGGCACGTGAAGCGTGTTAGATGTCGATACAGACTGTATTTCACGTTCTAGTGTACTATCGTCGCAGCCGCTGGACCGCTTTTTCTCTTGGTGCACCTGGCCCTCCTTGATAGGTTTCAATTGCGGCGCCAAAGTTTCCGGAGTCGTGGACTCGCTACTGCTTGGACTCGGTCCTTTGTAATTTCTAATGTCAAAATCCAAATCTGCCGGCAATTCGGCACCTACCGATAGATGCATAGCCAGTCCTTCCAACCAAACCTCCATAACTTCGAACGGTGGCCTCTTATCCGGATTTAGATCGCAGCAAAGGAACGCGATCATATAAAAGGTCTCAGGACAATTAGAACAAAATTTCTCCTTGAAGACATTTTGATTCAAACCAAAGTCGGATGATCTAGGCAAGTAGTCGGGATCTGCTTGAACTCGACCTATGATCTCGCAGACGACAATACCGAAACTAAATATATCCACTTTCTCATCGTACTTATTGCCCTTCATCATCTCGGGCGCCATCCAGTAGGGATTTCCGACAACCGTGTACCGTTTCTTTCGCTCTTTCTTCGAGGTCTTTATCTCTCCATCAGAATGTCGATTATACTTGCGATTGTCCGGCGAACTGCCATTCTGAATGATTCTCGCCAGACCGAAATCAGCAACAACCACAGTCTTATCCTCACGAACGAGACAATTGTGCGAATTTAAATCGCGATGAATGATATTCATGGAATGCAAGTAGGCCATGCCGGCAGCGATATCTTTCGCGAAGGATGTACGCTGTTCCCACGGCAGTGGTTCGTTCGTGTCGTGAAGCAGGGCCCTTAACGTGCCACCTGCTATGTATTCGGTAACCAAATGCAGTTTCTTGTCCTTATAAAGAACACCGATAAATCGAAGAACGTTGTTATGGTGTAACGAGCGCAGTACTGCAACCTATTGAATCATTCCCAAAGAAAAAATATATAAGAATAACTGTGAAACTGATAAAAATTTAACACTGATATGTCCAGAAAATGCAAAATCGGAGCGTTCAAGAATATTATATTATGCATATTTAATATTAAAAATAGTTGCACACTTTTTTATTCTATCTACATAATATATAACATATATGTATGTTTACTTAAAAATAAGATTACCTCTTTTAAAAAATTCTTCTGAGCGTCTTCATCCACTCTATACAACTCCTTGAGGACCATTACTTCGTTCGTGTCGCGATGTGTAACCTTGAATACTTGTCCAAAGAATCCTTTACCAAGAAGCTCGCCCTTTACCAAATCACTCGCTCGAAATATTCTCTGATTCTTTGGCTCTACGCGGAAGGATCTGGTTCGGCTCAGATCGTAAGTAGGATTTGTTGGAGAAGATCTACAATGGATTTCAATTTGATAAATTACATCGTATCAATTGATTGATAAACATGCTCATCTTGACCTACCCGTCAAGCAATCGCGACATAGAACTACTACGTTCTTTATGCATAGGATCTCTAGTTCTTCGTAATTGTCGGCTCCGCGCACCGCTGATATAACCCTCATCCCGACGCTTAAACAGTCGCTCCTTGCTTTCGGAACTTGTCCTGGGACTACCGACACATGTCAGCATCGCCGAGGACGGTGAGCAGAACGTGGGCCGTCGTGATATCGCATCTGGATCGTGCTCGATAGTCAACTAAAAGACCAAAGATATTTATTGTTCAATTTAATTGTGCTAAATCAGCGCCAATACGATAATATATACTTTAGAAATACTTTGACTTACTTGTAAAACTGTGTCTGAATATTGTATAAGATTTTCGATATTTTCTACAGGCTGATCTTTAACAGGGGTGCCATTTACTTCCAAAATTCGGTCGCCAATGTGTAACGATATAAGATCACTGGACATATTCAATCTGTAACATTTATTTTATGGGATATTTTTATTGTCATTATTATACATACTGCAATAGCAAGACATGCAAACTCTTGCATGCATTATATTTTCTCTTTACTGTAATATATTAACATGAAAACACAACTCATAGTAAATAATAATTGGCAGAATAATGGAATAACTTCAAACTGATGATAAAAATTACAAAAAAATGTCACAAGATTATCAAAAGAAACAAGAAAATGGAAATATATAATTAAAAATTTTTAATCAATTATTTTCTTGATTATAATATATACTTCAAAGTGTTGTTTTTATTACACAAATTTATTACACAAAATGATAGAAATTTATCAAAAACCATAAGAAGCGAAAGATATAGCATCCAGAAATAATATTGCATCAACTATTTAAGTTGTAGTTAAATTACAAAATAGCTTGCACCAAATCCATTGTATGTTGACATAATATGTATACATTAATAGCTGCAATTCCTCAACAACTAAGTTTATTCTAACAACATAAACTGTCACTTCTTGATATATTACATTACAAACATGCACGTGATACAGAAAAAAACGATAGTTATAATACATAATTAACATATAATATGATTGTCACATGTCTTAATTAAAATTAGACAAAACATTTTATATCTTCACGTGCGATTATAATGTAATCAGTGCTGAGATGCAAGCACAGTCTGAGTTAGCAATATGTAGTGCATATTATTGATTTGTTATGCAATACCTATGATTAGAGAAGTGGCAGCATAGTCTAAATAGGACCTCCATCACAGAGGCCAGCAGCTTACTGATCTTTCCACGAACATTTCTCATTAACCTGCATTTTAGTTGAATGTTATTAGAGGCTAATATATATATGTAAATTTATATACCAACTCTCTTAAATAATCAAAATTACCATGCACTGTTAAATATTTTAGAGAAGCAACTGTTCTAAATGTAAATTTATAATCCTGAGTCATGAAAAGATCGATATACTATACTTTTATTACGTATGATATATAACTTTTTTTACCTATCTACATAAATTTCAATCTCTAAATTCAGAAAATCTATTTTATATTGAAATAATCGTCATTTGTGCACGCAGTTTATGAGTAGCATACATATATATAATACAATATTTATAAGAATATAAAATATATTATCATACATACTCTGAAATACGCAGCAAAGCACCACAACTGCGAGGACTGGGAGCTGTGTCTAATGTGAGTTTGATTCCTCTCTGCTTATCTAGATCTGTCGTGCTAGGAGGTATTTCGACCAATCTAATGCTATGTGGTTTTCTAGCAAAAGGGTAGTTTGCTGTCCTGTTGAGTGGTTGCATCTGTCGCTTATAGCAAACCCCGCAGTATAATTTGGACCGTTCGACGAGTGCATAACTTTCACCATCTCCGATAAAAGCACCACAAGAAGTACAGGCAAAGCATTCTGGGTGAAATTTGTGATCGCCTGCCAGCATAACAGGACCTGTGATGATCTGACCGCAGCCCTGACATGCTTCGCCGTAAGCGGCCCAATAATCGGCTTTACAAAATAGCAAACCATCTTTCTCAAAGTACCAGGAGGATAGGCCGATATCGCATGCCGAACATCTGGAAAGTATAATTTTTTTTCCAATATAAAAATAGGATATAATTAATAATATATTTGAGTTGCAATGTATTTTATAATATATATATATATATATATATAACACTATCTTCTTTAAGTATATTGACAATTTTACCGAAAACAATCAATGTGCCATTCTTGATTCAATGCCTGTATAAATTCATCTTCGTCGATAATATTGAGACAACCAGCACATATTAATGTTCCTCCACTTTCCTCACCTCCTACATCTAGAAATAAAATTATCATTAAATTAAAGTTTCATGTATTGTTTATTTCATAATATAATCAATCCAACATTACATTTATAATTCATAATATCAATATCTTTGCAAATATATATCATACAAAGCGAAAGCATATATGTAATCATTCCAGATAAGAAAAAAGACGGACTTGAGGGATGTGTCTTGGGAAAGAAACATGAATCACAAATTTGACATTAGGCACATAATCGACAGAGTATGTAATGAAGCAGCTGACGACGATTGGAACATGACTCTTTTAAACGACGCGTATCGCAACGATGTGTAAAGATCGCATCTGTCGCGAGGACATAACGCGATAGAGAACGCATAAATAAACTTATTAATGCAAGAGTAGCGTGAGCAACACGGGAGACACAGAAGATAGGACGCCCACGCGATGCGCGACGCATTGACATTTAGTTGACGGCACCTTGCACGAGCGGCGTCTCGACGCTCGTCTTATCGGCAAGATCAAGTTATCACCAATAATTTGATTGGGATAACGTGTTTTTCTTTGCAAAATACACCTACCGTTCGTCGAAACTTCATCCATCACGGCATGTATGTACGATCGACACACTCCCACTCCACTCTCCACTCCGCTTGATTCCACTCTCCACTCTCCATCATTGAACGCGGAATTCATGTAGATTCGAATTGATTCGAAGTTCGAACTTCGAACGCCACGATCGCAACGACACGTCGCCACGTTGCATAAAATTTGTGAAGCAAACGATGCAAAAATTTAACGGTAATAACCGAATAAGGGGATTTTCTTCTTATCTGTGGAACACAGTATTGCAGTTCTTCCAATTTTTCGTCTTTTTTTGTTTTAATAATAAAATATAATCATGTCACACGAAAACGACTCATATATGTATGTACGTACTATTGAAATCGTGCCATAAGTAAGTACCCAGACAGCACAAAACGTCCTCAGGATCATCCTGAATATGTCCAGGATGGTTCAGGATATTTGTAGGATGTTTTAAGATATTATTATAAATATATTTTATGAAAATTTAATATGCATACATGATTACTTTCGGTTATGTAGGCTATTTAATATAATTTAGAAATTTTAAGTATTGTAATAAGTATTNNATCCAGAGGAGATCCGAGGATTAAAATAGGATATCCTCAGGATATCCTACATGTATGTCCTGGATGCCCTTTGGACGTCCTAAGGACATCCTTGTGCTGTCTGGGTATAGTATAAAAAATATACGAAGTATAAAACTTTTAATACGGGAATCAATGAAAAACAAAAAATGTACTTCTCACTTGCATATATATTTAGATTTTGTGAGATATATCACTGTTTTTTTTTTTTTTTTTTTATTTAAGCATATATAATTTTACATAAGTTTTCTTATTTTTACAACTTATGTCTGAATCTTAAAGTAAATATATATATGTATTGACGCTTTATGAAAATAGTGCAAAATACTTATTGGGATATTGACATAATATATCGTGATTATTACATATTGACGCTTTATTTTTGTCAATTAATTATTCAAAAAATCAGTAGTTCCACTAATATATATA